TATTACCCATTTAAAGAAAGTACTTGAGAAAAAATATGAACTTTATATAAGCAGAAAAACTTTGTCAACTTATCTTTGGCCAAAGCATCTTAACACTTTTTTAGCAAAGCAGCATCATCATCCTGCAATAGTCTAAATTCAGTTAGTATCATGACATGAAAAGTCTGATAATTCTGATAGCCATTATTGCCTTGCTTCAGTAAAGGGTACTTGAACTTTTGCTTTATCATTTTTTGATTATTCTATAATAATCTCTTAAGATGATAAAGCAAAAGTCCCCTTGGGGATTCCAGCTGTCAGTCGAACTTTTAAATCAATTGAAACAATTAATGAACCCTTTATATACCTGATCATGATTTTTCTTTAGGAAATAAAATAAAGCTTATACCCTCTATATATCTTTTAATTAACCCAAAAGATACAAATGATAATTTTCGCTCAGGGTATCTTTCAATTTATATTCGGCCTAAATATTTTGTGTATACGACTGCAATAACTTATATAGCTAACTTGATTTCAATCATAAATTCTAAAAAATATAATGAATTTATCTATACAGAAAACAAAGTTAAACCATTATGAATTTTGTTAGTAGACAGTAGACCAGACAAAAATCCAAAACATTTAAAAAATATTATAGAATATTGTAAGTTTTTTTGTTTTTTGAATCTTGACTATCTTTCAGTTCGTACTCATGCACTAGAACAATCTTCTTACAATCCTGTAGAATGAAGCATGGCTTCCCTTTTGTCCAAATTAGCTAGTATTGTATTACCTATAGACTATTATGGTGCTCATCTCAACTCACAAGGAAAAGTAATTGACGAAGAATTAGCAATGAAAAATTTTCATTTTTCAGGAGAAAGGCTTTGTGATATTTGGTGATATGACAAGATTTATAAAAAATCTGTACAGGTTAAATATTTAAATATACATAATAACATATTTGCAAATAAAAAAATTTCATGGCAGTGGATTGAAGAATATTGCCAAATTTGTCGTTATTCACTTGATGTCAAAAAATGTTATAATCAAAAATGTTGCAAGCCTTCTTGGGTACCAAAAGTAACTGTTTTATTGCAAGAAAATAATGGATTCTTACCTCCTGTTATCCAAGGATGTGACCAACATTTTTTAAACCCTATTCATATTCTTGAATACTATGATAAACTTAAAATTTCTCCTTATGACAAGCATTGTCCCTCAATTTCAACAGAAATGCATCAATACTTAAGTTGTTCAGAATGTAAAAAATATTTTTCTATCTTAAAATTTATTCAAAAACATAAACTTCAATCTTCAAATTGTGGAAACCAAAGTTCTATCACAGATTTTTTCAAAAATACTCTCTCTAATTCTGCAATATATGAAGATTTCGTTTAATCAAAGGAGTTATATGATGATATTGTTTTTGAACAAGGCTTTTCTGATAGTGAAATCTTTAAATAATATTGTATTAATATGTTCATAGTATAAATAAAGTTTTTGAATCAAATAAAAAACAACTTATCGAAATAAAGCAGCAACTATTTGCTAAATTAATATTGCGTAATGATAATAAAATTCATATGACCTTAAAAATTCTAATAATATATCAGTACATTTAGTGTATCCTATTTTACTATTATCAAATTTGAGTTAGAGACAGATTAAGACTAGGTTTATAGTTGTAAAGGATTTGTAAATAAAACTACTGCCAAATATAATGAATCCAATTTTTTTTTTTTTATAATAAATTTATAAATTTATATTGGATATATAATAATAATTTGTTTAGACGCTATTTTTATATATATCGCCAAGTAACTTTAATCAAGAAAAGCTATCTTCACTAAAGATTTTAAACTCCAAATATGATACCGCTTTAGAATTAAATTTGAATGAAAGTTAAGAAATAATAAATATTTGTTGTTGTTTTGAGAAGTTTGTCAACAAAGTGACAAAGCGATCATCAGGTGACTTTAGAAGCAAATTATATACATATTGTAAGCAGGGAAAAGAACTGCGACTTAGTCACTCAACAATACCAAAAGCTTGCATAACCAAAGGTAAGTACCCTTTTGAAAGAGGTGTATTAGATAAGGCTGAGGGTTTGATAAGGCTTCGGGTTACTTGGGTTCCAAATGTCCAGAAAGGTTTGGTCACGTAAGCAAGAGATACAATGAATAATAATTTATAATTTATGTTTGGAGAGTATGTTAGTGAAGCAATGTTATTGGGTCATGTGGATAAGAGGTTAAATGAACGATTTGTTATAAGTTGAATTTATTGAAGAACTTATAGTATTAGTGTTATTGTATTGATTTATTTAATAAAATTGGAACTTTGTTATTTTTAATGAAGCAAAGGCGAGACTTAATTCTCTCAAGGGCTATTCTAGCCTTTATTTATAATATATTTTTCTTAAAGTTACATATTACATTTATTAAACATATCCTCTATATCTCATATATTTCGTATAGGTCAAATTCATTATATATATCGCATGTATCGTATATGATATATGCAATGAATATGATGTATGCGACTTGTCCTACTAGTTTGTGTTCCAGAAGGAATGTGACCAGTTAATCACGTTACTTATTCATATTAAGTAACTAATTCGCATCAAATATGATAAGCCACAGCTTATCCGAATTACGTTGTTGAACCTTACAATATAAATATATATCTTTTTATGTTTTCATTGTATCTTGTTAATCCAAGATTAGTACTAGGATAATATATGAATATTTTAAATTTGATTATCCATGAATTAAGAATAAGTGGTAATTATTGACTAAGGCTAGAAGAATATTATGGAGTTTCACAGTAGCATAAGGCAAGGAGAGTTGATAATCAGTTTAGGGATGATTATTTAAGGGTTGACCCTTAGAGTAGAATTTGTATCTTTCTGTTTGCTATTCTCACCTAGTAGTTAGGGCTAGCTCTGATACCCTACTCACCTAGTCCTAGGAACAAGAGATATATATATATATATTCATAAGCTCCGCAGCTGCAAGCAGTGCAAGAACTTATATTGATAAGCTCCATGACTGCAAGAGCAGCACAAGGACCTAAAATTCTAATCTGAAAGTTTGAGATTTGTAAAAAGCAGATAAGTTGCTCTATGGCTCTGTGGCTATATTAGTAGTAGAAGGACCTTATTTCTAAATAATTTAGGCTCCAAGGCTGTAATAAAAGTGCAAAGACTTTACTCTCAGGCACTATTCTATTCCTTGGCTAATTCTCACTATAGCTATGTAATTTTTACGAAGAGAAACTCTAATTTGATACCTATAATAATATAGTTATATATAAGTAAATTAGTATTAGTATTGTTTCAATATAGCAAATCTATCTCTATATATTATTTCATCGATATACTGTATATATTAATAAAGTTCTGATTGAGTAATAATAATTTGGGCTTCTCGATTTTTTCATTTTTCATAAACACTTTTAATGCGAAAAGTAAAATTATAATTTGTTGGATAGCAATTCTGTTTGAGTGATCTCTTTGAATATTCAATTAATTGTAAAATTTTCAAAGGCAAGTATAAAAAAAAAAGGTGGTTTGGCTGAATCAATGATAAAAATTACAAAAATAAACCAAAAAATATTAAATTAAGTATGCGAAGTACTGTATAAAATTTATTATTCAAAAAATTCTTTAATTATAATTAGTTAGGAATGGGCAAATCGAAGATTTTTTGAAAATACTGTGTAGACTACATAGCCTGTGTAGCTTGCAGCCTTTATAGGTCTGCATTATGACTAATGCAAGTCAAAATTTCTAAATTTCAAAGGTCTACAATATATTCCAGCCTTCTGGTATATTCCACCTGCACAGAAGGTCATCTCTAGAGTTAGTACATATTATAAATAATTTAATATAGCATAGTATAGACCTGATAGAATCCTAACCTCCCACCCCCTAAAAAATCAGGTGATTTCTATCTCTTCCCTAACTTAGTACAATTTAATTTATAGAGTTACAATTCCAGAAACAGACAGGGTTTACTGTAAGTTAGGTATAAAGGTGTAGGTAATTATTTAAATTCATCAATAGTAGGATTTGAACTCTAGACCTTTTGCATAGTAGTCTAGCAACCTAACCACTATACTAAGATCACTAGATCCTTATGTTATTATATTTATAACTTGCTTATAAGCTATCTATTAAATACTCTTTTTAATTAATTTTTACTATTACAAACTAATATTACTATAATACTTAATTATATAAGCTAGTTAGCTTATTACAAATCTATTTGTCTATTTTAACTTAGATTCTCTCAGATTTATTATATTTAATATATTATAAGTATCTGTAGAGATAGTTAATTTTGAAACAAATTTACTAGAGTAGTCTATATTTATTTTACTAATTTATCTAATTTAAACTTTTATAATATTTATATAATCTTAGTTCATAATAAAGTATTTTATTAGTATATATTTTCTAATTTTTTTAAATATTTTAAAAATTAAATTTTTACAAATCTAGTTAGTTATCAAGATAAGTTAGTAATACTAAACTACTAGTATATATTTTTTAATTACAATAGTCTTCTTATAAAACAAACTTATTTGTATTTAAGTTAATCTATATTTTTTAAATAATAGTCTTCTTTCAAATTAAGTATTTTTTAGCTTAATTATCAAAAGCTATACTACTTAACTAACTCAAAATTTCTACTATATAAGCTCTTTGCTCATAAGTTCTATTAAGATTTATTTATATAATAATTGCTAAAATTAAGATTAATATATTATACTACTAAAATCTAATTAACTTAGTATAACTTAACTTATAGTATTAAAGGTTTAATAATCTTAGTATAGTGGTTAAGTTGTCAGACTGCTATATAAGAAGCCTGAAATTCAAATTCCACTATTGACAAATTTGAATAATTACTCAGACCTTTGTATCTAACTTATAGTAAACTCTATTTATTTCTGGAGTTGTAACCTTATAAATCTTGTTATACTAATATAATTCAGATATTAGGAGTATAATATAATATTGTACAAATAAATCTTAATAGGATCTACTGATAGAGAATCTATATAGTAAAATTCTGAGTTAATAAAGTAGTATAGCTTTCAACAATTATATCTGCTAATATTTAATTCAGAAAAGAAACTGTTACTTTGAAAATATAAATCAAGTTAATATGAATAAGTTTGTTCTATAAAGAAAATTGCTAATACTAACCTAACTAGATTAAGAAAATCTACTTTATAAAATATTTGAAGAGATTAGCAAACAAAAAACTAGTGAAGAGCTACAGTAAGAACTAGAGTTATATGAATATCACAAAGATCTAAGCTAGATAAATTTATAAAATGAATACAGACTAGTCTAGTAGATATATTTTGAGATTAATTGGAGCTCTATATACTTATAATATATTGAATAATATATATTTTAAGAAGATCTAAGCTGAAGTCAGTAAATAGATCAGTAATAAACTAGTTGGCTTAAATGATTAGATATTATAATGATATTAGTTTATAACAGTATAAGTTAGTTAAACAGAGTATTTAAATAAGTAACTTATAGGCAAGTTACAGATATAGCAGTATAGTATAGAACTAATCAAGTGGTCTATCATCTGTATAGTAAACTACTTAAATTAGATAATAACTAAAGTTGTATATTGTTATGTTGATTCTATTTCTTTAGAGAGAACAACTAACTAGAGAGACTAATAACAGTGAATACTTTGTATAATGTCCCTTGTTACTATATTTTGTCAAAGTCTTTAGAGCATTTTTACAAAACTTAACAAAGAAGATTTAAGGTAATTTGCAATTATGAAAGAAGTAACAATTAAAGATATATGAAGATATTAATAAATATTTATTTCAAAGTATCAGAAAGGTACTTTTATTATGAAAGAGTATAAAGATTCAATAATAAAATCAAGGTCCATATGTGCTACTTTTATACTTTACAAAATATTAGAAATATAACAGGCTATATATATTACAGGAGCTATATATACTACAACTATCACTAATAAAATATATAATATAACTAATATATGTATAAAATATATAATAAATATAATATATGATATATATATGATAAATAATATAAGTGTCTCAAAAACTATAGGTAATAGATATAGTACATGTAATGAATCTCCCGCAGTAATCATCAGCCAATCAGATTGCATAATTATTACAAAAAGGCCAGAACTTCATTATCTCGAGATCTAGTAATTGGATTTTAATGATTTTTGGCTCATTAGATCCACCTCAGTGAGCTAATTCCAATGGTATGTATTTCATCCAATTCAGACAGTGGATCAAAAGTTATTAAGGATTTTGTATTTTTACTTATATTTCATAGATTAACAATAGATACATCCTGAACTTGACTACGAACAATT